TGCTTCTTCGGTTACTACATTCTCTCTGGAATATAGCTCAGAGTAGTGCTGTACCCAGCGTTCCATCTGCTGTGCTCGGTCCTGGATGAGCACACCTGTAGCAGACTTCAAGGGAGCAGATTTCTTCTGTATAGGACCTAAGGTCTGCTTGATACCGTCATACATTCCTTTGATGTTACCTGTGTCCGCTGCTATCTGTATCTGAGAGCAGAGCTGAAGCCAATAATCGTTGGAGCATCTCCTGGCTGCCTGTTGGACTTGGCTGCGAGCAGCTTGAAGAGCTTGCAAGTTGTACTCTCTAGGACAGGCTTTGTACGCTGCTAGAGCTCTCCTCTTATCCTCGATGGCTGGCTTCAGCTCCTCTGAATGGGCTTTGAACCAGTTGGCCATCTTTTTGGTCTTCTTGCCAAATGTGGACAAGGCGTTGTTATAAATAGTGTTCTTAAAATGTTCCCATCGTTCAGGTGCATTTGCATCAGCCAGGCCTGGAAGGCTTTCCTCAAGCGCTTGGGCAAATTCCTCCACTTTTCTTTGATCACAAATCTTGCTGATGTCAATATGTGGTCTTCCTTCCTTTTTTCATGTGATACAATCTCTTTGTTTGCAGTTTTACTCTACTACACACCAGGGAGTGATCAGTATCGCAATCAGCACTCTGATAACTGCGTGTGCCCATAATACTAGGAATGATGGAACGTCTAGTGAGGATCAAATCAAGCAGATGCCAATGCTTGGATCTTGGATGTCTCCAGGAAACTCTCTATTGAAGCTTTGTATTAAAGAATGTGTTGATGACACAAAGACCCTAATAACAGCAAAACTCCAGCAAGCGTTGGCCATTTTTGTTCATCTTCCCAATGCCAAAACGGCCTAGACAAGTGGGCCAAGAGTTGTGATCAGCCAATACAACTGGTTCCAGTGACATTGCAGGAGTTGACAGAACGACACAAACTGCCTCCAGGACTCTGGCTCCAGATTTTGCCTCAATGTTAACTCCTGAAGCCTTTTCCACAAGGTGGTGGAGGTTTAAAATTGGAGTTTTCCTTCTCCTAGATGGCCTGCCTTCCAAGGCTGACGAGCCTCACTTACCCAGCCTGCTCTCTAATAGGGCGCAGGGGAAATGGGGTGAAGAGGACCCTGGATGGGGCGGATGGGAAATAGGGTGGGGAGGAGCCTTGATAGGGTCACCATAAGTTGGAGGTGACATGATGGCGCAACAACAGGATGGATGTAATCATGGGTGTAAATAGCATTTCATGGCTTGCTTGTCAGCCTTTTAGTTCTTATTGTTGGAGTTAGCTAGGTATACAGAACTGTATATACATCAGAAGTAGAAGGTATTCGTATATGAATACGAATATCCCTGCACAGATGGAAATAACGAGGGTCCAGCCCCATAGGGGTCATGATTTCGCCGCTGCTGCCGGCTCCAAAGAGGCTTCCTATCGCGCCATTCTCCGCAGTGGAGTAGCCACTCTGCAACTTAGCAGAGAGGCTTGTCATCCTGCCTCCTGCCAGGACTGGGTCATCAGTTGTGGACAACAGCGCAATAGGAGGCCTCGGCGGAGCTGGCAGCAGTGGCGAAATCATGAGCTATTTTCACCTGTCTGGGGATATTCCTCTGCGAATACTCCCCTCCCTAGTCAGAAGGTTTTCCTATGGAATTCTTGGCAAGAGAGCCAGGTCTAGACATGCAGGTGGAAGCGTAACCTTCCGTGTCATCTGCACATCTGTGGGAGGTTTGTTTTGGACTTCTCTCGAAAAATCCCAGCCCCTAAAGCCGTGTCCCTTCTGGGAGTTGTCCTCTGATTCACTGCCTGGCCGTTGTCTGGCTGCCTAGGGAGGGCTGCTGGTGGCCAGCCGGTTGCGCTGCCTGGCCGTGGTCCCTCCTCCAGTGGAAGCTGAAGGTAGGGGGCTTGGCCTGCCTCTTCACCCCGGGAGGAGGGCTCAGTCGCCTTTTGCCTTTGTGAGCCCAAACTCAGCCGTATTAAAATTCTTCTCCCTTCGAGCTGAAAGGTGCCTTGTCTGTGTCAGCCACGAGGGAATGGTGGGGAAAGCTTGGATTAGGGGTCTCTGAGCTCACTCTGTTGTTGCTGCTGCTCCCAAGGGTATAAGCCCTGTTTTTGACCTCCGGCCCCTTTTATTTTTTAAGGGTGCTTTTAATCGGACTCCTTTGTACCGAGCTGCATTTGGAGGTCACCTGGCGGCAGTAGAACTCCTCCTTCAGTATGGGGCGGATCCTCGGCTTTATGCTGATGATGGCAACACACCTGAGCAGGTATGGGGGGAGGGACAGTGGCTTTGAGCCATCTCCTTTCTTTCTTTCTTTCTTTCTTTCTTTCTTTCTTTCTTTCTTTCTTTCTTTCTATTTATTTATTTATTTATTTATTATTCCCTCCTATCAATACTTGACTTTATTTTTACTATAATTTTCTGTTTTCCCATCTTGAGCCTTTCCTCCTTCTGAGTCTTGACTCCTAAAATGGGCCCAACAGAAAGGGACTGGGTGCTTCTGATAAGCTGAGGGAAGTATATGTTCACCTGTGAGGGGCCCTCAGAAGCCTCTCCTATCGTTGCCAGAGTCTAATGCAGACCTGGGCAAAGTGCGGCCTGAGGGCCACATATGGCCCGCGAGCCCCCCCGTCTGGCCCGCTGGTCGTCTCTCCAGTCTAGCCCATGACAGACTGGATTTCTGTCACTGAACAAGCTGAACATCAAAACCATTTATAGCTTTTTATCTAAAGTTGATCAGTTGCTTATTTTAACATACTGCAAAAACCTCTTTAGTATTGTGAAGATTAACAAGTTTAAATAAAAAACAATCATAACATCACTGCTTCGTTTTATTTTTAAGTAAAGTTAGTTCGGCCCCTGAACACAGTTCAGATTTTTCATGTGGCCCCCACCTTTACAAGTTAATTGCTGACCCCTGGTCTAATGGGAGGGGAGTGTCTTGTTTTCGGTAGCGTTCTACCCCACATGTGCTTTGGAGCGCTTCCCAGTGCATGGATTCTGGTCTTGAGCCTCTTTGGGTCTGGCTTGCATAGATGCTTTTAATCTAGGTCAGCTTTCTGACTTGTGACAGTCGCCATCCCATCCAGGAAGAGCTTGCCACAGCCGGTACCAGAGTTAGTATTTCTGGATGGCTTTCTTAGAACTGTGCTTTTTGTCTCTCTCGAGGTCGCCTCTCTGGATAGCTTGGTGACTGTCCTGAAGTCCTGGGACATTAGCCTGACAGAGGCCATGCTTCAGAAGATGGAGGCAGGGCAGCAGCGAAGGGCCCAGGAGGAAAAGAAGGTGAACGAAGCAAAGACACACCGGTGAGCGCTCTCTCTCGCGCGGGGGGGTGCGTTGTCTCCCGCCCATCCTTCCCTCCCCCCCCCCTGCAACCCTCAAGAGAATTTGCAAGGGGTTAGGTTTTCTTCCAACCCACAGAGCCAGGCTTGACCTAGAGCAAAATTATAAAGGCAAAAATGTCCACTGAAGTAAGTGAACATGCGCTGCAGCTGTACGGTGCATGCCCCCTTGCGCCCTGACTTTGCTCAGAAAGCCACCAGGGCTGCCTCGCCACTGGATTTGGAAGCTGCTTTGCAGCTGGTCTGGCCAACGTCTCCTTTCTTCTTGCACGGACAGTTCTGGGTGGTGGTGGAGGAGGAGGAGGAGGAGGAGGAAGGAGGGCCAGCCATGTGCCAACAGGTTGCCTTCGACTCGTGGCAACCCTGCCGGTGAGTGGCCTCCCACATGTCCTGCCCTTGAGAGCCCTGCTCAGCTCTGGCAAACTCAGGATCCTGGTTCCCACGAGGGAGTCTCAATCCATCCCATACTTGGCCTTTTCCCTCCTGTCTTCAACCACCCCCAGCCTTATCGTCTGCCTCTCGTACTCAGCGCACGATGTAGTGCCCCTCCCCTCCCTTGCCATGCAATGCTCTTTGCCATCTGCAAGAGTGCTGGGGACAGGGAGCCGGGTTCATGGGCTCCAAGATAGGGGAGCCAGGATACATCCTCCCTCCCTCACACGCTGCTGCTGCTGCCACTGCTGCCGCTAGGGGAATGGAAGGCTGCCCGGAGGAAGGCCTCCTCTTGCTGATGTTTCCTCTTCAACGAACAGGCTGCCGGGCCGGGCCGGAGGCAGCCCTCATCCTCCGGGGCTTGCTGTTGTGTTTGCTGCTGCTCCTGTTGCTGCTTGGAGATGGACGGACCCACTTTGTTTTTCCCCCTTCTTCTCTTTAATACTGGGTTGTGAGATCCTGAATTGGTTGAAGGACTCTGTTTTCTGGAATTTAATGTGAGAGATTATGATTTTTCTGATTCTCGCTTTAGTCTTCTATTTAATCAAAACGGATACTGAATGTGTGCTGTGTGCATTTAAAAGTGGGTCTCAATCATGTAAGCAAGCACGTGGGGAGGGGAGGGGGGTCTTGAGGCGGTGCCTCCACTCCTTGTCTTTCTCTTGCAGGATGATGGAGGAGGTGGATCAGCTGGCAAAGGAGTATGAGCGGTGCAGCAAGGAGGTGGGAGCCACAGAGGCGTCTGCCCAGGCCAGGCCCTCCTGGGTCTTCTCCCCTGGGCAACTTCCTTGCCATCAAGTGTCGCTGGGAGGGGGTCTTGGTGGGCTGCTGTGCCTCACGCCTCTGGCTGAGTGGCACCAGGACTGGCGCTCTGGGGAGGCGGGGAGGGGGTGGGCCCTACCTGAGCTGCACTGCCCAGGTCTGTCTGTGGCCATGTGCCTGGGGCCACGGCCTCCAGAGCAAAGGGTCCCAATTCCAGTACGGTCACCCCTCTGGAAGGTGCCGCCTGCCCTTGTGCTCTGGGGGCTGAGCTCATGCTGGGACTGCCTTCTTTGCAGCTGCAGCAGGCCTACTGTGAGCTCAACCGACGGATCCGGGAGCACGACAAATGCCAGCAGAAGCAGAGGAGCAATGCTGAAATCACTCTCCGTGTATGTGGACCTTTTTCCTGGTTTTGTAGGGCCACTTCCTGAGTCAGGGCTGCAAACAAAATAAACCTGGCCAAGATTTGAAATTATGAGTGGAAATAACAACAGCAATAGTACAGGCACAGCCCAAGGTGGATGCGACCCAAAATAAAAATGTGCCCATGAGCGGTGTGTGAACAAGGTCTCTGGGCAGAAAATAAAGCCCTCCAAAGTCTCCGGTTGCCCCAAATGCGGGCCGGCTTCTTCCAGGCGTCTCCTTCATATCTGCATTTCCTGTGGCAGGCAATTTCCGATGCGGAAGAGCTTGTGGAGAGGCTGCGGGCCATTGCCAGGGAGGCGGAGGAGAAGCTCTCCATGGCCCGGCTCCGGCTGCGAGAACGGACAACGCAGGAAGGTGAGTGAGCATTCGGATTGCCTGCATTCTTCTGAGGGGTGCATCTCTTTGAAGAGATCCCACCCTTCACAAGTAGACCCACAGCCCCCAATTCCCAGGCCAGTTTGGAACATCCCATTTAGGCCAATTTCCTGCGTGCGGCGGATGGGGACCCAAGGCAGTTCACAGATCATTAAAGCAAGAAATTAAAACAAGAGGTATGAGCCATTAAAAAGTTATTCAACATGGAAATACAGTAGTACCCCTTTATCTGTGGGGTCGGTATCTGCTGATTCACTTATCCATGGTCTGCAAATATTAAATTACATACTTTATTAAAATGTTTTTAAATGCAGAAAATTCCCCACATTTTACTAGACCTGGCCACTAGAGGGAGACGGTGAGACCTTGCTGAGAAGAATACATAGAGCAGTCTCTGGTTGCTTAAGGTGGTGGGGGCTCCTGCCTGCCTGCTGGTTTACCCAGAGGTTAAAAAGAAAAGCGCCAGTCCCTGGTGATCTAGGTGGGAAGTGGGACGGGGTGTCTGCAGTGCTTTGCAGTGCTTTGCACTGAGGCCTGAGAGCATGCTGGCAAACACCTCAGCATGCAAGTGAGTGGCTCTCCCAAGGTGGTGGCAGTGGCCTCCGTGCCTTGCCCTCTCTTCAGGTAGCCATTGAATTTGAGTGGATTGGAGAGAAGTGGCCGGGGAGGGCAAGCCCTTTCGAGAGCTCTGCTAGTTGTCCGATGGCTTTGCACCAGAAAGGGGGGTAATCGTCCAGAATGGGAACAGTTGGCGGGGTCTGGCTTTGGGGAGGGGGAAGCAGCTCCTGCAAGACCTGGCCCTTCCCTTGGTCACAGAGCGTCTCTGCTTTGCCAGGGTCCGAGGGGGAGTTCCGCGGCCTCAGGTGCTCTGTGCAGGAGCTGGACGACGTGCTTTTGAAAGACGTGGGCGGAAGAATTCAAGCAGATGGGCGGTGAGTTGAGGGTGAGGCCAGAGTGGGCACATTTTGGGGCCCACTGACGGCATGCTGGCCAGCCTCTGCCTCCTACCAGTTGGCTTGGCCTCCCTTCTTGCAGTTGTGGTGGCCTCCTGCCTGGGCAGCCGAGAAGGGAACTCTGAGTGATCGGCCAGGAGGGGCTGTGAGCAGAGCCTTCTGCCCGCCCGCCCCATTCTGCCCTGTCCAGGCCCACCTTTGCTTCCTCCCTACATAGGTGGCCTGTGATCATTGACTCCTCTGGCCAGGCAGCCATTTTCCTACATTATCGGGACACCAATTACCTGAGCACAGTGAATCCCAGTGACATGGACGTGGAAACGATCCGCCTGGCGTTGCTGGGTGCCCTTCGGTAGGTGCAGAAACTGGAGAAAGCCAGAGCAATGTCTGTGAGAACATGGTAGTGTCGGGGGG